ATTTCTCACATATCTGTTCATTATATAAATGTCTGTAGTAACATCATTGACGTTGTCAGTTTGCCTGCTTTTCAGTTCTCTGAGACGATGCTGTAGACTTGAACAAGGCCACAGAAGAGTCGATTCCTCTCAGACAAAGCGCACAGCATTCCATTTGCACCATGCATTGACTTTGGTGCTGAGAGCAGATGTCTGTAAATTATCACTTGTCTATGTAAGGCAAAGAGCTTTCTTTAGAAACCATATTCTTCTCTTTTTACTCTAACCAAAGCTAAAAGGGAAAAAGGAGCTATTAAAGGTCATTTTTCTCATCTGTCAATCTAAACATAACTCGTTTCTCTTCAGATCCCTTTCACTGCAACCCTATTCCACTCGGGTAAGCTTTAGGGCAGGATTTACCTTACCTAACTTTGAAAGCTAGGTGTTTTGCATAATCTCAGATAGCTAAAGTTAGGTAAAATGAATCCCACCTAAGTCTTTTATCTCTCTCTGCTGGGCTAATGTTTCTAATTGTCTTTCTTGTCTGCCTTTGCCATATATTAAAGCCTTCCCTGCACCTATGCTCCTGCATAAGATAACTGGGGGCCCTCACTCCCAGTGGCAAGGACTCCTTCCTCTCCACAGAAGCCTCACTTCTTCCTAATGAGGAAATCAAAGAGGACCTCCCGCTTCCTGCCGGTGCAGTGGCAGGGGGCTTTTCAGCTCTTTCATCCCTCTTCTTCCACAAGTGGGAGTCCAGCCATACATCAGGATGGTCACAGTAAGTCTGTGTTGTGGCAGTGATGTCCCTTGGTGGTAGTGCTGAAGCTAGAACCACATGGGTATGGCGAACAGCTTCCCCCTCGTGAACCCAGAGTTCCACAACTCTGCATGTGCAGGTATTTGTCCCACACCTGAAATGTATTGTCAAGTTTTGATTCATAACCATGTGAGTGAAAATTTGGGGAAAGATGCCAGCTTGTGTGCTGGTTTTTTTTAGAAAACCTGAGAATTTCTCTCAGATGGGAGCATGCCACCTGACCAGGTATGTCCGATCACCATTCTCTTCACCTGCAAATTCCTTAGGATTGTTGCTGGCCCATCAAGAACAGCTCAACTGTGAGAAATCACATCCTTGCTTCTGCAGTCAGTCTACCCATAGTGGCGGTCACTCCCCGGCTATGTCGTGAGCCACAGATTGAGACCACCACTCAAACTCCACTTCAGCAATGCTGTCTTGGAAAAATTAGTAACTGTTGGCTTGAAAAGCAGGTGCAGAATGAATGACAATATGCACTTTTAATTGTTAGTAGATTAACAGATGCACTAAAATTTTATGTGCTGGACAGGCATCAACTCTCATCATATGCCACATCAGTCTGGGACAGGAAACATGTTTTTGTATGTGTTCATATAGCTTGCAGTAAAGTCCTGTCTGCAAGCCCCAGGTACTGATTTCATGTTCATAATAGTAAATCCTATTTGTATAACTAGCAGCAGCAATGGGCAGCAGGTAAGGTTCACAGTACCTCAGTGAGTCTTTGTTTTACACATCTGGAGATAGAAAAGGAGGAAGAGAGACATGAGAATACCTCTCGTACAAACATATACGGCAAGCGTTCTCATCTAAGCTTGCTACGGGTACCTACAGAACAACTTAAAAGTGTTAGAGGATCCCAGCATGGGCTGATGGATTAACATACTGGTTTCCCAGCATGGGCTGGTGGATTAACATACTGGTTCCAGAGTAGCATCAGCTTTTCTCATTTTAAGACCAGATGCAACTCAGTTGTAAAGTTACGATTTGAATTCTCTTAACAAGCAGTGCATTGGGTTACCAAGCATCAGCAGTACCGTGCATAAATTCATTCACAAAAGCCTTTTAAGCAGTTAGAGAAAACGATACTATTTTACGGACTTGGTCTGTCCCCTTTAAACGCTCAAAAACCTCAGCACTTTAAATTAATGAGTAGCTCTCCAAAAGTCGGCGTCACTATTTGAGTTACACGTTCCGTGTGATTGCTTACTGACTGCAACTAATTGCGGCTTTTTAATCTCCTTGAGGACCCCGAATTACACGTGATTTTTTTTCAGCAGTTTCCTGTCTGATACCTGCTGCAGACCGTGACAGCTGAACAGAGCAAACTGCAGGGGCTGCGGCTGCCAGAGGAACCTTGAACCGTGAGATCAAAATAAAATAAGCCCTATCTTTAAACGGCACATCCCCTTCCCCCGTGCTGCACGTTTCATTGGCCGTAACGACCCGTTTCTTTAGCTGTAGCTCGGTGTGAAGGCAAATTCCGCGCCCCGAGCCAGGCCTGCGAGGAGCCGGCGGCAGGTCCAAGCATCCCTCGGCCGAGTCGGCGGGACCCC